CAACCAATTTCGTAAATTTTCTCGTACACCATCTAAAAGTCGAGCATCGGCCAGCCTGGAGATAAGGAAAGAATCCAGATCTGTAACTCACATTAGCGAAGGAGTACAAATTGCTGTCATCGAAGGTAGCATCAGCTCCCAAAGCATAGGTGTCCGTTGGAGCAAGCCACTCGTCTACCGCATCGCTTAGGAATTGGAACTTTCCTTTTCTCGTATCTGTTACAGCGCCGCTGAAATTAGTCAGAATACCTGATGAGGTTCCTAGTGGTCAAAGCGAAAACTGGGCTGTTTTGCTTACTGATAGAAATTCCGTCCTTGTTCTGGTACTCCTGTGACTTTGTCAGGACAGTTTTCAGTCAACTTACGAGCTTCCTCTTCTAGGGCACAGTTCCATCTCTGAAAGCCAGGAGGTGAATTGATAAGGCTGACAGCGCGAATTAACTGTTTTCACTAGACCCTTCATCAGTACTTGCCCTTTTGCTGAAATCGAGAATCATGCTTTTGAAGGTGCGCTATTAGAAAAAAGGTGGTCATATGTACGTCAATATGGGTGTAAGCGATGCATTTCCTGAATAGTTAACAACACTCGAACTAACCATCTTGAACAAATTTTTGGCAGGTGGGAGGAAACCGTTGTTGTTATCTGGCGATTCTCCCAGAGCGAGCACAGTTCGAGTTCCGTCGTGATATTGCAGGATCTTGTAGCGCGTAGTATCATCCATGTACTTGCCAGAGTCCTTGCAGGAATCTGTAAGATACGATAGAATCTTATTGGGATATATTGTATTGATGGCTTTTACGAGAAGTTGACCGTTCTCTCCCCTCCCAAACTTATGGGGCTTCAAGGGTGATTTCACAGTTTAGCCCAATTTATCTGCTCGCACCGTCGTCATCGTAAGCTTGAAGGGCACATTGGTTCAACGGCAGAAGAAGTACTTAGGAATCATGCAAATACTCATCCCGTCACGACCAATATAGCCTCATGGTCAGCATAGAACACTTCAGCAAGCCTAAGGTTTGCGGTACTGCCTGTGGACGAGGTCCTGACGCTGTGCCACACTGCAGTTTGCCTGTAATTGCAACACGCACCTCCAATGGCAGAACTCGACTGTGGGCACCTTCAGGTCTTCGACCCGTGTTTTGCGTAGGAGATTGTGAAAAATCTGTTATTTCCTCCATTTTCATGGGGGTATAAATAGGAGTCCATCTTCCCTTTTCTGACACGAGAGGAGTATTATGGACTCGAATATTTTGGCCTGTTTTCGGACAAGATCCCTTCAGTAAAACCTCTAGGTTGCTTTCATTATCTCTGCGACCACCGAAGCGTCACCAAGTCTCCATCATCTAAATCTACAGCCTGAGGTTTCATCGCGAGCTTCTCGCTGGTGCGCTGGCTGTTTGCGGCTCAGCCTGTCAACGCGGCAACGGTCTCGAATGCGCGACGACGCGGCTTGAAAGGATGCCTCTCTGAGAGTGTGGTTATAGACAGATTCGACCTATACCGATACAAGTCTTGCAGTTGTTCTAGGGCAGAATATGGTGAGGGCAGACTAGGTGCCAAATTGGTAGCTGTGCAACATTTTCCGTTTGTTGTTGTTTTTCTTGATGTTGTTTTTTTTCCTCTGGATTAATCCCTTCCATTAATGAAAGCATAAAACTTCACTTGTGTCTGGATTCTCACGATACCCAATGCATAACCCGCAGAGGCTTAGCAGAAGAATGCAGAGCTGAAAAGTTCATTAGGTAGTCTAAAACTGGTGTGACCACTAAAACTTACTCTTACCATAAGCATTGCGAAGAATCTCAGTCGTATCCGGAACGGAACTCTGATGCCCTCCTAAGCTGGCGTGGGCTTTTATATCCGCACGGGAATAGGGAAACATATTGTTACATTTGGTTCAATGGATTATAACGACCTCAAATCACCGCGATGGGCACACCAAACTCTCATAAAATATTGATTTTTCACGCTGTCATAAGGAATGACGACTAACAAAAGTTCTACAAATAGCGCCCTGCTTTTCCTTGGCACAAGAATGGCTTCTAGCACGCTTGGGCTAGGGGCTTTTTCTGATTACTGTCAACATAACGGGCAGGGCAATTATATGAGCGATTCGACACGCTACGGAATAATACCTATTTCATTTTGTGTGCCGATGTAGCACGGATATTTGCTCGCGATTACCAACCGTTGGTACTAGAGCTCACCAATGTTACTGAGGTTGTTCAATGACTCGACAGCGGAGGAAAAGGCAAAAGGAGCGGCTGAAACGCAAAACTAGGTGCCCTTGAATGGACGAGTTCTCCAGACTTGCTGATCTCATACCAAAAAACCGATACGACCGCGGCTTGTGTACATTCGTTTCTTTTCTTCCTGTGTCAAATTCGTAACACAAGCTAACATTGGAAATTTCTCTGGAAAAGCTGCGATCAGCGCAGGCTATCGAGCCAGTGCACAGATAAAACTGCTTCATCGGAAGCGGAGTTCAAACGCATACTACCTTATGAAATGGATTGATCTGCAAAAAGCCGCTCTGTGAATCACCGTTTCTCAGAGCTAACGCATATCTGAGAATTTACATATATTGAGGTGATGCTCTCTTCCAAGCAAGGAAAAGGTTAGTAAGCGGACGCCGATCGCGGCGATCGCCACTGTTGTCGCGAAGTATGAACGCTATTTTACAGGTGCGTGTAACAAAAGAACACCGAGTTATTCTCTTTTCACAAGCGGTACTGCTTTCTGTGTAGTGGAAGAGTAATTGCAAAAGCTCTAGAGGGCGCGGTCAGAAAAACTGGTCCCACACCGCATAAGTGACGCTTGAGTAGTCGTGTACCTTTGATATGGAAGGACTCTTCATCGCAAGACCACTCGGAAAAGAGAGAAGGGGGTAAAATCGAAGATGGTGCCATTTAGGGGAATGATATGATAAGCTAAGAAATTGCACCAGTTTACAACGACTGGAAAATCGCACTCCACCTGAATCTTCCATGGTCCCTCTCCTGAGATTGAAAGTTTCGTAAGAGAAGCAGTGTCGGACAAAGAAGTCTTTTTTAACGCTCAAACTCACACTCGGACAGTCCCGGGATTCATAATATAACCTGAATGCTGTTCGATTTTCATAGGTATTTCCCAGCTACAGGAGCGATTTCTAATCATTTATTACGATCATTCGCCTCGTGTTACACACACAAAGCGAAAGTGGTATTATTCGGTAGCGTGTACAAGCTTTCCTCATAACATTATGTTTGACAGCAGGCAAGTTGCAGAGCATTTGCCCAAGAGTACAAGCGGCCATTCTTCTACCAAGGAAAAACAGGGCGCAATGGGTGAAGTGACAACATTCAAAACTAGGCTGTAAGAAATGGGAGTAGAACAATAATGAGTTTGGTCAACTGGGAGCTGGTTCATAGGTTGTTTGGAGTGAGCTACTGCTTCAGGAGTACAACATCTGCGCTTCAAGCTCAGTAAAATATTAAACTGTCTCGACTTCAGAAGCGAAGACGAACAACAGCAGCTTCTGCCGATAGTGTCCGATGGAAGGTGGTTCATTTTTTCACTTTGATGGCAAACTTCCGGATCCCGCGTGCAGCTATGCAGAAAAAAACCGCCTCGGCGATGGCCCTATATAGGCCCCACCCGACGCCAGCTTTTCTACGTTTGCCTCCGATGGAAATACGCGTGTATAGTGTAGATTCGCCTTGCGGACGGTTGGGCGTGTCAGGCGGGATAAGTTTGGCATGACATGACAATGTCATATCGTTCGTATTACTCGTTTTCTACCACTTTTTGCCGCATGTGCGCTTCAAACAAGGATAGAGAGAACGGCTTTGAATGGGGGACACATCATACTGCTGAACACGCCCAAAGCGTCCGCAGTGAATACAGTGATGTTACAAAATTCTCACTTGTTGTTATCAGCTCTTTTCCGCTGTCAGTTCACTCCCACCATTCAGAATGGTGAGAGTTAGTAGATAGGCTACTAGCTTGTAGATGGTAGCCTCTGGGAGTCGGCATTGGCCTCAAAGTGTGCTCATGGCCCTGAATTTTAAGCTTCTACTTCTTGCCGTTTCCAAACTTCTTCCTTCGACATTGCTGTTACCTTGACAAGTTTGTTCTGCTGCACACGCAGCTTTCAGGTAGGTGAAATTTCTTATGGCCTGCTTTCGACAAATCGTCTTCATGATATGCCTAAAAACGTAGCTCTGTGTTTGAAAATTAGCTTTCTCTACACCGCCAAGAGCTCTTTTCCCTATGTTTCTGACAGACTACTAGGAAAACCACCTAAGTATATGAGCTGTGACGTGATTAGAAGAAAGCAGTAGATGTTGTATTCCACGATCGACGAAAATTGCCTACGCCAAGAAAGAAGCATGCGCGCGTCTTCTTCCGGAAATGACTCTGGAGGAGGAATTGAGCGGTGGCGTCACGGCTTAAATTTGCTTCATTCGGTCTAGGGTCAAGGCTCCCTCTTCGTCGCGAAAATATGATCTGCCCCTCTTGACCAATACGACAGAGTCCTTGAACAACTTACGCAATTTACGCTTTGAAACAAGCTGCCGTAGTTAGAGTCAATTTTGAATGGTCAGTTCGCTTATACTAATGTTCCAAAACGACCACGCTCTACAGGCACTGTCTGAAATGTTGGACAGGCATGCTGAGAGTACAGAGACTTTTGGACTCAACAAAGTGCACATCATGACTCTAATCAAGGAATGTTTATGTTGCAACATCTTCAAGTGGTCGGGTATATATTGTTTCCAAACACTAGAGGTGTTTAGCAATTTGGTTTCAACGTCTAGCACCGGTACTTGGCAATTTGCTGCTTTAGAGAGAAAGAACCAGTGCTGCGAAGTTCCCAACCCGGTGGACTGTACTGTACAGGTACATTAGTAATCATTTGGCCTTCATTTTTTACCATTATTTTTCCAAGGCCAACCAAGTTTTTTTTCTTTGGGGGGAAAAATGGCGTGGGAGCGTCTTCCGACCAATAAAATGAGAGCTCTCAGTACAACTTAAGCTCACACTGCGAAGTTTCCACAAAATGGTCTGCTTTCCTTACCTCAATACGCAGGTGAAAGTGTTTGATGGCATACTCAGTGTGAAATGGTACAGAAAAGCAAGCTCCAAGAACATCTTGATTCATGCCACATCTGCAATCCTTCTGCTTTGAAGCAATGCAGTCGTGAGAAACACTGCTGCCAAAACGTCGTCAAGCACAGGGGCAGAGGAGCGGCCTAAGAATCGCTACGCGTTTGCGCTTCTGATATAGCCGTTTCAAATGGCTACCCTGTACCAGCTAATCGTAGAAGAATTCACACTGAGAACCGACGCGTACCGCGCCAAAACAAGCTCCCGCTGTGTAGATACATTTCCACTATACTGACAAAGTGACTGCTTGCGATTCAAAAAGTGTCTTTTTTCCGCGCCAGTCAGGACAATGATGTTGTATTAGTTAGTATTCCTAATAAGTAACATCAAACGCCAACTGGTGCGAAACAGACTCTACGATAGGCAGTGCATATCAGAACAGTGCGTTACTTGTCCACAAGGTTCAATTGGAGATTGCGCCAAAATTGGTGTGATCTATCAAATGGCTGAAATGTTTGGCATGTCAACGCAAACCTTATTGGGGAAGCTGGGAGACGTTCAGCAATACGCGTCAAAGAACATTTTCGCTAGGCAAAAGGCGTCAGTAAATATAAGAACCACCACTTGCAAGCATTTGTTGGGTAGCCACGCGGAAAGAACTTATGTAAAGTTGCACATTCTATCATGCCGAGACTGAGATTTCTGCCAGAAAAGCGCTAGAAGCATTCTGGATTTCTGCAAGAAATCCTAGAATGAACAACCGCAATGAGTGCTTATCCATAACAAATGACCTCTTGCCATTTGTGTCGCACTGCGAGCTACTGATGTGAGCGGTGGGACGTGCCATTTCTGACTATAATCATTATACAAGATGACTATAATCATTATACAAGATTGGCACAGTAAGTCCCATTCATTGTACTAACATCTAACTGAGCGGCCACTTCCGCTCTCGCTGTGGTGGACTGGGTGAGTCTTTGCTCTCATTCGGGATTTTTGGGTGGTTTTCTCAGTAGTCTGTCAGAAACGTTTGGAAGGAGGAGATCTTTGGCGGTGTAGTGAAAGCAGTTTCAAACCATGAGCCACGTTTAGGCCTCTGATGAAGACGATCTAGTCGAAACGTCAGGCCATAATAAAAGTTCCACCTACCAACCTCGTGTGCACAGAAACAACTATCAAACTTCTACCCGCATTCGTGCAAATTCCACTTTTTTTTAGCGTGAGGTTGCTCTACTATTGCCTTGCCGCGATCATCGAAAGACATTCGAGCAGCCTGGTAGTATTATGTTTACATCACGGAGTGTGCCTTCGAGCGTATTTGACGTTAAGTGTAGTCTAGCAACGCAAGTTTCCGAGATACGGTTGCAATGCGTTTTGTGGATAAGATGACAAGTCTCCAGAAAAGGAATTCGAATAAACGGTGGTGCTTAGTAATTTGTGGACAAAATGTGCACTCACCCATGTGAATACTTGTCGTTACGAGAGCTACGAGATGTACAAGGTGAAAGGGTCCGCAGCTGCAGTAACGTGCTAGTCCCTGGTGCCATCTCCCAACTCCACCCTCGATGCCGCACAAGCCAGCCACACATAATCGTAGAACCGAACGCGCTGCACGTCTGCAATCTCTCACTTCTGAGTGTTCCCTACTGTCCAGAGGACTTGAGCAAATCTTGGAAGACTGTAGCCTGAGCGTTCGACGATCG